CCCAGCGGCGCCAACGGGGAGTGCGGACCTGAGTGAGGACTGCGGGTGCTCCCCCTGAGAGCGCGGGAAAACCAGAACCCGCCCCCCCCAGCTCCATTTTGAGTGGGAATCAGCGGGTTTTAGGGGGTGTTTTGGCTTCAGGACCCTTCAAATCATCGCCGAGGGGTAAAATCCGGCGCAAAAGGTGCTTTTTAAAAATCACAAACTCAAAGCTCCGCCCATTTCTGGGGATTTGGCCCCAAACTGCAGCCCCAGAGGGGGTGTCGGCGCTTTCCATCTGATTTTTGGGGGTGGTTTTTGTCCCGTTTTGGGGGCGGTTTTGCCCAAGGGATCCACCTACGAGAGGATTTTCTACTTCAAAAGAGGGAAAACCCCAAACTCGGGGGGACTTGGTTAAAAATACAGACCCTTATAGATCCATAGGACCTTGCTTAGGTCCCAACAGCCCCGTAAATCCCTATCGACCCATAGAGCCCTATAGATCCCCATAGATCCCTATAGATCCGCTCAGACCCACAGATCCCTATCCCCCCCCCGCCCCAGCGGCGCCAACGGGGGGTGCGGACCTGAGTGAGGACTGCGGGTGCTCCCCCTGAGAGCGCGGGAAAACCAGAACCCGCCCCCCCCAGCTCCATTTTGAGTGGAAATCAGCGGGTTTTAGGGGGTGTTTTGGCTTCAGGACCCTTCAAATCATCGCCAAGGGGTAAAATCCGGCGCAAAAGGTGCTTTTTAAAAATCACAAACTCAAAGCTCCGCCCATTTCTGGGGATTTGGCCCCAAACTGCAGCCCCAGAGGGGGTGTCGGCGCTTTCCATCTGATTTTTGGGGGTGGTTTTTGTCCCGTTTTGGGGGCGGTTTTGCCCAAGGGATCCACCTACGAGAGGATTTTCTACTTCAAAAGAGGGAAAACCCCAAACTCGGGGGGACTTGGTTAAAAATACAGACCCTTATAGATCCATAGGACCTTGCTTAAGTCCCAACAGCCCCGTAAATCCCTATCGACCCATAGAGCCCTATAGATCCCCATAGATCCCTATAGATCCGCTCAGACCCACAGATCCCTATAGATTCACTTAGATCCCTATAGACCCATAGGTCACTCCAGACCCACACAGACCCATAGAAATCCCATAGATCCCTATAGATCCACTTATACCCCTATAGATCCACACAGACCCACATAGACCCATAGATGCCTATAGACCCCCATAGATCCCTGTAGATCCACAAAGACCCCTATAGATCCATAGGTCCCTCCAGACCCACACAGACCCGTAGGGATCCCATAGATCCCTGTAGATCCACACACTTAGACCCCTATAGATCCACCCAGGCCCATAGATCCCTATAGATCCATAGAGACCCACACAGATCCCAAGAGACCCATAGATCCATACAGACCCATAGATCCCAAAAGACCCACAGATCCCTATAGACCCCTGTATCCCTATGGACCCAATGATCCCTCCAGATCCCCGCAGATCCTACAGACCCACACAATCCAGTTTCAGGGCCTCCAACCCCCAAGCTGAGCAGGGCCCAGACCCTATATCGTGATACAGGGCTCCTGGGATCAACAGAATCCAAATTTGGGGGCTTTTAGGGCAGGTTTTAATCACCTTTTATTGAGGAAAATCCTCGTTCCGCCCTCGTGCCCGGATCCCAGCCCCCCCCCCGAGAAACGGCGCCAAAACCCCCCAAGAGACACACCCAAACCCCCCCGAAAATGATTTAAAAAGGGGGAAAAGCCCCCAAAAAAGACTAATTGTGAGAAGACGAAGGACTGGGCCAACTCCAGGTTGGGGTCGTGGCCCGTCCAGTTGGCACCAGGTTGACGTGGTGGTCACGGTAGATGATGAAAGGATGAAAATGGGGGGGGGGAAACGCTGAAAAAAGGGAGAAAAATGCTGAAAAATGGGGAAAAATGCTGAAAAAGGTGAAAATAAACCCAAACCAAGATGAACTGTGAGGAGGGGAAGGGCTGGGCCAACTCCAGGTGGGGTTGTAACCCACCCAGTTGGACGTGGCGATCGCGGTCGACGGTGACACGATGAAGGATGGGGGAAAGGATGATGGAAATGGGGGAAAAAATGCTGAAAAACTGGAAAAATCCCCCAAAAAGAGACTCATCATGAGGAAGGGAAGGGCGGGACTAACTCCAGGTGGGGTCGTAGCCCGTCCAGTCAGGGGGGGGCGCCAGGTAGACGCGGCGGCCGGGGGAGACGAAACTGGCGATGGCGCGGTAGGCCGG